ACACACACACACACACACACACACACACACACACACACACACACACACACAAAGCTGAAAAGATCTGTTTGCTCTTTTACAGTGTGAGCATTTAGCAACAAGAGACAAAGCACCATCACGGAGCAGAGAGCTGCCCTCACCAGACACCTGACCCTTCCCACACCTTGAGCTTGGACTGCACAGACTCTAGAAGTACAAAACAGGAACAAGTCAAGCACAGACTTCTATCCCTTACACAGGAACCCAGCCTACACCCAAGCTTTAGGCCACCGGCCGGTCTTCCTAGCGAGCGGTCTTTCTTCCCCTCCCAAGGGACCACGTCAAGGCAAACCAAGGTAGAAAAATCTCTTTTCTTTCCCATCTTTCTCATGTGCATGACAAGAGAAAATGAAGGTACGCCGAGGCCCACACGGGACCGTGGGTGGATGGAGCTGCCCATAAATCTTCATTCACGACTTAGCTGGAAGGGGAGAGGGGATGCCACTGGATCTACCAACACCATCCATTTCTTTTCTGGGAGATTCAGGTCCCAGGCTAGCCTTTCACCCGCTCTGAGGTTCTTCTCTTCGAGTCCCTCCTGTTTTGGCAGCTGCTACCTCCCAATGCACCCCACATCCTCTGAAACGCCTACATCTTTGAAAACTTTGCTCTGAACACAAGTGCCTGGGTGTCCACACAGTTTTTTCCAAGTAGGTCCTGTTTCTGAGTTGAGATGGGTCTTTAGTGACCAAAGAGCACATTTCTTTGAACCGGGACTGGTAACTACTTTAAGGTTTTTAGTTTTGATTATGAGTATATGTAGGTGGGAGGTGGTGGTGATGATGATGTTTCCTGTATCTTCTCCACTGGACAAAAGGCATGCTTGATGCCCAGAGTTGCCCAACCAACCATGTTCTTAGCCGCAGTAGAAGATCTTCTGTAGTGGGTACTTGGGATAGTTCCTGAGAATCCAGATGTGCACGTGGACTCTGGGCATCCTCAGAAGCTTACAGGAAGGAAAGGCTGCAGCAGGCTGAACCAGACTCTAAGAACACGGACATTGTAGGATAGATACATCTTAAACTATTGGGAGTCTGCCCATATTCTGCCCCCACGGTCTATTCCCAAAGAACTTGTCTGTCACTTCTTGGATGTTCAGAACGTAGTAAAATTCTTAAGTGGGGAAGGAAGACAGCAGTGTTCCCTCTCCAGCCCAAGCCACCTGCCTTGCAGACCTAAAGGTCCCCAGAGTTTCTTGCCCCCCCCACCCAGTTTAGCATTCCCACATGGCTATGTGCAATGTAGAGTCATGCCTCTTTTCCCCAACCCAGAATTGAATCCTATGCTTTAAACCAACTCTCTGGAGCTCTGCACTGGGGTTCCATTTGCTATTAAGGGTGCTAATGAGGAGGGACAGGCAATTATTATTATTTATTTCACTAATTAGCCAGATAATCATTCATTCCAAAACTATGCAGGGCTGGAGAGCTGTTCGGGTGTCCTTTGTCTGATGTGGATTCATTTTATCCCCCACTCCGCCCCATTTTCCTTTTACTTAAAAAAAAAAAAAGGAGCAAAGTCAGGGGGTGAGGAAGGGAAATTTTAAGAAGATGGAGAGATCATTTCTGAGCAGCACAGACAATGCAGCCAGGAGTCCGAGTTCATAAAAACATCACTCTTCAGCCTCTGAAGACATCATGCTTGATGATAGCCATAAAACACGTTAGTGTGAAATAAATTGCTCCTCTATTCAAATTCTTATACGTACCACTGTGGATGTCACCCGAGAAATGCAACTCTTTTCCCTGATGCTGAGGTATATTTTATCATAATTTGTGGGGTAGGTGACAACCTTATACACATGATTGCCTTTTCCTGCTCAGTTAGCCTGGCAAGGTCAGAGTCCTTTGGCCTTTTATGAATGTAGGACTATTAAGAAATGAGAAGGATAACTGAACAGTACTGAGAGGAAGCTGGATTTTTCTTTACTAATGCATACATTTTTCTTTCGTGGTGTTTGCACTTAGGAAATTACCCTTTTAAAATTCTGATATAGTTTTGGGGGGATGAGGGGACCATTGCTGATATTTTAGTTTTCTAGGTCTTATTATTGTTGTTGTCCTAAGATGGAAAACAACTTCTGAGAAGTTGGAATTCCTTCTCAGTATCATAGTGTAGCATTTGGTAGGAATTTTCTTTTCCCCTCAAAAAATTTTAAGGTAGATAATTACAATGAGAAATTGTTGCTTACTTAATGTAGTATATGTTGTGGGAGATTTGTTTGTATTGTGGCTCCAAGACGGCCAATGGAGTCGGGCCTTGGTTTGGAGGGCAGGGTCCATGTTCAGCTGGCCAGAGTGGACTATAGAGTTTTCTGGCCGACTCAAGAAGACAGACTGTCATACTAGCGGAATAAGGAGGGGCCAAAGGATTAAGGAGGGGCCAAAAGGAGATACGTGGCCCGTTGGGGGGGGCGGAGAGTGGAGAGTAGAAGTTATTGATCAGTTTTTCTTTGTCGCTCTGTGGCTCTATCAGGTTCCCCTCATATCTGACTCCCCACCATTTTTTTTTAATAAAGCAATAAAAAGAAGTTGCTTTAAATATAGAGTAGCTGAGAGGTAAAAAGGTATTTTTGTTAAGGTGAGTCTCCTAGATAGAACCAGCCTACTGTACTAGACCGATGCTTTTTACTGTTTTTAAGACTTCTATACTGCAAGTTATCCTCCTCCAGGGTGATAGAACGGTGGAAGCTGTACCAAGGATCTATGCAAAGGAGGTGAAAGGGCAGATCTTAGTGGAAAGAAAAGCAGGCCTCACCTGCCGGAAGGGTGACTGGTGTTGGTTGGCCTCCTGTCACTATAGCAAATTACCCAAGGCAATTAACTTAAAAAAAGAAAAGGTTTGTTTCCGCTCGTGGACTCAGAAGTTCTAGCCAGGATTGCCTAGTGTGTCTTTCTGACCTGGAGTGAGGCTCCTGTTATGGAGGCAGCTCATGATGGGGTTCAGGGTGAGGAAGCCAAATCAGGAGACTCAGGCTCCTCCAGCCCTCTGTAATGACCTGAAGACCCCTACCAGACCTCAGCTCTTAAAGTTCCCACCAGTTCCCAGTAGCATCATTCTGGCAACCAGCTTTTAGCACACAGGGGGTCTGTTGGGGACATTTGTGATCCAAGCTGTAGCTCTTAGCTAGTGACCAAAACCGAAGTACACCTTCTCTGTTCTCTGTGCTCCTCAACAGATCAAAGGGCTCAGTGTGGGGAACGTCTGGCCTCTACAAGTCTCTCCTATTAGTGGACTCTTTTGTGTGTAGTAGTTTGGGAAATGGCTCTGAAACTTTCTTGAAAGACATCAAGATGGGACCCACAAATCTTGAGCAGCAAGTTCCAGAAACCTAGCTCTTTATTTGTTCGAACCAAACTTTCAGACACTCTTTCACAGAGTTCTGTAGCCAGAAGTTTCTCCAGTCCTGCCTGGCCCTGCGGTCTGGACGAATCTCTCCCACCCTCGTCCAGCAGTCACTTGGTCCCAAGTAAACACACAGAGGCTTGTGTTATTTATAAGCTGTATGGCCTATGGGTCAGGCTTCTTGTTAGCTAGCTCTTATAACTTAATCAACCCATTTCTATTAATCTATATGTTGCCACGTGGCCGTGGCATTACCAGTCTGCTGGCATCTTGTTGCTCTTTGGGCTGCGGGCTGGCGTCTCCCTCGACTCCACCCTTCTTTGTTTTATCTTTAGTTTGAATGTACTTTACCCTGCCCTGCCCTGCCATAGGCCAATGCAGCTTTATTTATCAACCAACCAGAACAACACATATTCATAACATACAGAAAGACATCTCACAGCAGAGCTGTTATACCCAGGATCTTGGGAACACCATAGCTACTTCTGGTAGGGATGGAACCAGGAACAATGTCTTCAGATATATTACACTTGCCTCCGCAGTGATGAAATATTATCTGGAAGGAATGAAAACTTAAAAAAAAGTGCAAGACCTTTAGAATATTGGATATATAGATCATAATGCATTCATACCACAGTTTATATTTTATACCAAAGGAAATATAAATATGGATTGGGGCTGTAGCTCAGATGGTAGGGTGCTTACCCAGCGTGCATGAAGTCCTGGGTTCCATCCTGAGCACTGCATAAAGCTGGGTGTGCTGACACGGAGCTGTGATCCCAGCATCCACAAGGTGGAGGCAAAAGGATCAGGCTACATAGTAAACTCAATCCTCAGCAACATAATGAGTTCAAAGCTAGCCTGGGCTAGACTTGGAAGGAAGGAAGGAAGGAAGGAAGGAAGGAAGGAAGGAAGGAAGGAAGGAAGGAAGGAAAAGAAGAAAGGGAAAAGGAAAGAAAGAAAGATAAAGGAAAAGAAAGAAAGAGAAAATGATCTACATGAAGAGATGTTATCTAAAAGTGAAATACAGTTATCATGTACTGTAGCAGGAATCTTAAAATTTCTTATTAATAAAATCAAACCTGAGGCTAGTTATTGGGGTCAATGCTGGTTGATCACAGAGACAGAACAAGCCACAGCTATCTCACCTTGCCAATTCCTCAGCTGGTCCTGTTTCCTCAGACTGGAAGCCTCTGTGTCCTCATCCCAATGGCTCTCAGCTGAACTGCTGCTTAAAAGCCTGAATGCTTAACCAGCCAAATGCTTAACCAGCCAAATGCTTCTAGTTTCTGGTCCTCACGCCTTATATACCTTTCTGCTGTCTACCATCACTCCCTAGGATTAAAGGCATGAGTCACCATGCCTGGCTGTTTCCAGTGTGGCCTTGAACTCACAGAGATCCCAGATGGATTTCTGTTTCTGGAGTGCTAGGATTAAAGGCGTGTGCTATCACTGCCTAACTAGTGGCTTTTCTGTTCTCTGACCCCAGATAAGTTTATTAAGGTACACAATATTTTGGGGAACACAATACCACCACAATGTACTGCTCTAATGTACTGGCCTATGAACAAATAATTGAAAATAATTCTGCTGTATTCTTGAAATCACTTTCAGGAGGTCTGGGGGAAGGAAATTTTGAAAGAATTAGTAAATCAGTGAAGCTGCATTTTAAACAGATTTTCAACAAGTGCCACTGCTCTTCAAGGTCACCTTACTAAGTTAAATGCACTGCCTGGTGACAGGAAATACAGCCTCATGCCAGTGATTGGCTTCTATGCAGCCACTGAGAAGGAGGGCATTCTGTAGTAGCTATTTACTAGGGAAAGAGCAGGAAGTAAAAGTGATGAAAAGCACCAGGAGACTAGGGAGACCCAGAGTTGGAGGAGCTGGGCAGTGCTGTGCTTAGTTTCCCACTCAGGACACTACAGGATTCTCAGGTCGGTGCTAGAAGAAGCCAGTAGCTGTAGGTGGTGTTTACCACCCATGAGAAGAGACTCGGATGGCCCTCTGAGACCTCAACACACAAGTTAGCCTTGCCAGCGACATTTGGGATGGATCTGACCACGAGAGACCAGGGGCCACATGAGGATGGACAATCTTTTCCAGGTAGACTGGCTTGTGAAAACCACAGTCAAGTTTCTGGGTCTACCTGGGCAA